ACAGTAAAGCAGGTGCTAAGATCAATGTCTTTGCCAGGGACAGAGGGGATTCTAGGAGGAAATAATCAGTTTTGGCAGGACGATGTATAGAACAGTTAGGAAATGTTCATTTCCTGCACTTTGTAAATAGTCCTCAGGTATGCTGAATATCAGGTAGCAGGAGAAAAGGCACAGTGATACAGCCTGGCATGTTCAGAAAATGGCAGGTAATCTCGGATGGCTAAAACTTGGGCATAGGCAAGAGATGAGGCTGGAGAGGTAAAAAGGAGCTGGGTCATGGGAACGTTGTATGCCATGCTCAGACAGTTGGCACTGGGGAGTCCTTGCCAGGGCTATGCACAGAGTGGCATGTTAATATGGTCATCAATGGGAAGACAAAAAAGTGAGGTCAAAAATTCCAGTGCTGTTTGCTGCTTCAGCACTTGACTACATCTCTGTGGAAGAGAAGCTATTAAAGGGAAGGCCAGAGGGAGCATGGAGTCTCAGAGGGAGAGCTCACAGAGCACTTCCCTACAAACATTGGGCAGAAAGATTAGAAATCCCCAGACTCAGTTAAGCGCTTTAGAGCTCCTGGTGACTCCCAATCAAAACACCTAAAATGGGCCAGTGGGGAGATTCTGAACCAGAGGAAGCAGCCCATGTGTTCTCGAAGCACAGTGCTGAACATGGCTCTCTGTGTAACAGAGTATTTAGTTCACTGCTTTAAAGAACAACAACACATTATTGTGGTGATGATAAAGGATAAAGTTAAAATGCTTTAAATAAGAGATTTTACCAGATTCTACAATGGAATGATATTCAACCACTTGGTGAAAGACAATTTTGGTGCCTTTAATAATTTACTGCATTACTGAGAGTTTTCAGAAATGACATAGAGGGAATAGTCTGATATCTATAGGCTTAGTTTTACAGTTCCACATTTGTATGTAATACAGAGTTGATAGATGGCCCTTAGACACCTTATGCTACAAGAAATAGTAGTATTTCTTGTCTATAGCATACTGTACTAAATATACATCCCAAAGACCTAATTAGCCATTACTAACCACCTCGATATGCAAATTTGTATAGTGTTCAGACCACTATATCCGTTTTTAAAAAGACATACAAAAAATAGTAGTATTTCTTATAGAAGTAGTGGCCATTGTCATCATCATTAATAACTAACACTTATTGAGTGCTTACTATGTGACCTGCACACTTTCCTTATCTATAATTCTCACAACAGCTTTATGAAACAGACTATTATTAACTTCATTTTATAGATGGGGACACTGGACTTCAGAGAGTTAGGTAATGTGCCCAGCATCATCAGCCCATCAAGTTTCACTTCAAGTATTTCATTATGGCCATATACACACAGGCTCCAACTGAAGGAAGATTGATTTTGCCCTAGATTAGAATGCCAGAGTACCAGGGGATATAACAAGAAATATTTTTAGCAGAAATCTTTATTTGCAAGATTTCCAATTCTGTGCTTCATGTGTCTGCACAGTCACTTCCCTTCTTTTCCCAAAGAGCATTTGAAGGCTTTGCTTTGAAAGGTTTTAGACGATAAATGTTTTTTTTTTTTTTTTTTTTTTTTTTTTTTTTTTTTTTTTTTTTTTTTTTTTTTTTTTTTTTTTTTTT